TTAGCTGTGGAGGGCAGTGTCACTGGCCCTCATATGTGGGATCTGAACCGGGGCCCTCTGGCGTCCCAAGCCAGCTCTTAACCAACGCGCCACTCGGCAGGCCCTAAAATCTGTTTTCTATGGCATGTGTAACCACTGAAGATTCTTCTCAGTTATCTTAGTGGTCTGTTAATGATTAGACATTGATCCTTAAAAATCTGGAAACAATAAGTCTCCTTGCTTGCCAAGGAGCTTTGTGTGCTTGTTTAGGCACATCCTCAACACTCATCTGGGCAGTTTGTCAACTCTGCCTTTGTTTTCACTTTCTGTTTTCATAGAGTCTCAGGGTTTGCCAGAGGTGAGAGCTTAAAGGATTCCTCAGGTATTATCAGAGCATGTGATCAAACCTGGACTTTCACATATCTCTGGGCATTTGCAGCCTACTAGATTCCCAGGAATATGTTGGAGCTTTACAAAGTCACTATTTTGTTCTCTTCAAAAGCTTTTGTTTTTTATGTTTGTTGGTTAGTTTATTGTTTTTCCCAAGTGTTATTTATCCACAAAGGTGGCTACAAAATTAATCAATTGCCTGTGATTTTTTTTTTTTTTTTATAATCGTGGCTTGAGGAAAAACTTTTTTGAGGAGACTTTTTGTGAGCTCTGTAGAAAGTCAAATACAGACATTTTTGTAAGTGCCATCTCCAAAACAAAAACAAAAACAAAAAAACACCAAGACAGGTCAAATAATGATAGTTATCATAGAATGAGGCTTTGAAGGCATTCCAGTTCTGTTCTGTTCCCTCTGGTGGCTGCACAACTACTGGTATTCTCCACAATATAAGATGTTGTTCTTCAAGGCTATCATGGACCAAAAGAGGGAGGAATTAGGACACGTAAAAACACCACGAAGCTCTTACTTTTACTATGATTAGACTGTTTTTCTTGACTATGTACTCCTCAGATTGATGCAAGCCTTTAATCTCGAGTTCTGAGAAAGCTAATTTTGACATTTTTTTGACCAGTTTTCTCATTACCTTTATGAGGAGAGTTTTCAGATGTTTTTACTCTGCATTTTCACTGACGCTCTTCACTAGGACTGTATCTTAAAATGTTTGAATGTTGGGCTTTTATTTCACATTTTTAACAGTCTTATTTTCTCTTCAATCTTGTTTATTACAAAATATACTGTCAAACATGTCAACGGATCTTCTTGGTTTACTGTACAAGGTGACATTCTCCTTTTGTCTAAAATTATACAAATAAACTCATTTTAATAATTTGTATTCTTTTGTGTTTACATTTAGATTTTTATTCATCTGAAATTTACTTTTTGTTATAAAGTGAGTTAGATGTGAACTACAGAAACCACTTTATTTATTTTTTTTTAACAGAAATTCTACATGAATAAGTCCTGTTAATTAGAGTAAATGATTTCTCTCTCACTGACTTCAAATACATTTTTAAAAATGTTAATTCAGATCTATTTCTGGGCTCTATTTTCCCCCCTCTAATCTTATTACAATGCTAAAAAGAAATAGTGCTTTATTATAATGGTATTATAGGATGTTTTACTATCTGGTAGCAATTTTCCAACATTGTCCTTATTTTTCGTATACCTCTTGGTTACTCTCAAATATCTTTTTTCCATACTAACTTTGTTTCATGCAGTTTCAAAGAGAATACTTTTTATTATACTTTATATTAATTTTGGGTTAACTGACATTGTATTTTTATTAAATGCACATATCATTCTTTTTATGTGGGTCTTGATTTAAGCTTTTAAATAAGAATTTGTGTTTGTTTTGTATAAGTTCTCCCTTTTGTGTTGAATTTATTCCAAAATATTTTATAACTTATGACACAGGTTTGTAAGTATTATCACTATGCTTTTTAATAGATTATTTCTCTTATAGACAATAGTGACTATATTCCAAATGGTTATATATGCCATTTTACCAAAAATCATTTATTGTAGTTTTACATCGAATCTTCTGTTTTACTAGATATTCAATCATAAAATCTAAATTTGGAGACATATAACATATTCATATTCAATATTATAATAGTAACATTTGGGTTCATTATCCAATTGCATTTAGCTAAATTTTCACAAAACATAATTAATAATATTACTAATAAAAAATAATCCATTCTCAATTGTTCAGCTCAGTGGACATGCATTTAGCATTTTATGATTCATTTTTATATTTTCTGTTTGTTCTTTATATTTGGTAGTGTTCTTGTAGTAGTTTTAAAATTATGGAAACTAGATAGTGAATATGAGTATATCAAATAGCTGTTGTGTGAAGTGTTGGCCATATTCATGTTATTTTCTCCTTTAATTTGTTGATGTGATGTATTATGATTTAAGTTTTTCTAATTTTTATCAATTCTTACAACATAACTAAATGCATTTTATTTTATTTTGATCATGTATTCGTTTGAGCTCTGTTAGACTTAATTTGCTATCTTTTATTTGGAATCTTATATCAGTTTTCATGAATGAAAATAGCCTCTCAGGTGTTATCTTATACTATTTTAATCAATATTTATTAACTTATGGTAGCTGCATAAAATGAAATATAATCTATTTCTTAACAAAATAATGTAATCCTCTACAATTCATTTACACTTTGTGTGTATTTTTTCTTAGGTAGATGAATTGAAAAGAGTTTATGATGACCTAGTCGGGAAGAAAAAAAGTTTTCAAAATAAATATCTGGAAGCATTTAATAATTTTTATGCTACAGTAAGTTGGCCTTTCCTTACTTCCCACTTAGAGTTCTAGTTTCTATTTCCAAACATTAACTCATGCAACTAAAATAATTTTTTTGTATATTTTTGAGATACATAAACATGTATAAATGATTATTTTATTCTTTTCTTAAAGAAAAAATCATGGGATATGGAACTTTCTAATATCGCAAGAAATTATTCAGATATTTCGATAGCATATTCTCAACTGATGGATGAAAATAAAAGAATGAAAATTGATACTGAAACCATAACAGGTTCAATCAGTGACAGGTAATTCTGCAAATAGAATTTTTCTTCTAATATTGCATACCTAATATGTTAAATATAACATACCTCTTCATTTTTGTGTTCCTGGGATGATGTGGTGGTGTTTGTGTTTATCATTAGCTTTAATTTTGCTTGTTTCTGTTTCAAACATTCCTTTAAAAAAATTTTTTTTATTGGGGAATTGGGAAGGGGAACAGCCAAGTTGTTGTCCTTCAATCTTAGTTGTGGAAGGTGCAGCTAGCTCAGCTCCAAGTCCAGTGGCCATCCGGTCGCCATCTAGCCGCCCCATGGCAGCTCGGGGCTGCTCAGCTCAAAGTGCTGTGTTCAATCTTAGTTGCGGGTGCGCGTAACCCACCTGCCCATGTGGGAGCCGAGCTGGTAACCTTGTTGTTAGGAGCATATGCTGTCACCAACTGAGCCATCCTGCCACCTGTTGGCAGCTAAGCAGCAGCTCAGCTTGGGTGCAGCTCACTGGCCCATGTGGGACTTGAACTGGTGACCTGTTGCTCAGAGCTCACGCTCTTAACCAACTGAGCCACTCGGGCAGCCTTCAAACATTACTCTATAATCACTCTGAATCCCTTTACAAAAATAAACATAATGAAGAGATGATTTTATAAGGAGTTTTATACTCACTCGGATCAATATTCTTAATATTGTTTCAAACTCCATATCTTTGATTACTAAAGAGGTTGGATATTTATACATTCTCTCTTGAATTCTACTTTTTCTAAAAGATTCTTATGTGCTTCCAAGGAAGAAATAAATAACTTAGGATTCAGAGAGTAAAAGTAGTTTTTCTAAAGTCCCACAGCCAGCACAGGTGGCATTTGAAACCTGACTTTCTATATTCAGATTCAGGTTATCTTATTTTTTTTGCAATTTAATCTGACTTTAGTTTAACTGACATTTAGTGAATGATCAAATATGCTTGGCATATTAATACAATATTAATCCATCCCAAATAGTAGGCTTAACGTTAAAATTGCAGTTCTCTTAGGGCACAGGTAAGACTGTAGTGAATTCACAGAGCTACACTTTTGGCTGTGTGCCTGGAGCTTAGAGCAAATGTTTGACCTGATTTGTGTGCCTGTGTGTGTGTGTGTGTGTGTGTGTGTGTGTGTGTGTGTGTGTACATGCGCTTGATTTTTTATTTGATAGGCAGGCAAGAACAGACGTTGAGGGTAAGGAACTAAGTGTCAGATAATGATTTATTTTAAGGGGTTTAGACTCTGCTGAAGACTATGGAAATCCAATAAAGACTGCATCATCAGATTTCTTTTTTTTTTTGTCTGTGCCATTATTTAATATATATGCAGATACAGTCATATGCATATACTATTTCATTTTATTTATTTTTTACTATTGCTTTTTTCATTTTTCTCAATTATAGCTGACATTAAATATTATTTTAAGTTAGTTTCAAGTGTACAGCATAATGGTTAGACATTTATATAATTTACGAAGTGATCTCCCAATTAATCTAGTACCCACCCAGCACTATACATAGCTGTTACAATATTGTTAACTATATTCTCTATGCTGCACTTTAGATCCCTCTGATGATTTTGTAACTACCAATTTGTATTTTTTAATCCCTTCACCTTTTTCACCTAGCCCTTCAACCTCCCTTCCAGGTGGCAACCATCAGTTTGTTCTCTGTATCTATAAGCCTGTATTTCTTTTTACTTTTTTTGTTTATTTTGCTTGCTAGATATCAGATAAAATGAGATAATATGATATTTGTCTCTCTCTGTCTGACTTAATTTCACTTAGCATAATACCCTCTAGGTCCATCCGTGTTATCGAAAATTGTAAGATTTCATTTTTTTTTAATGGCCGAGTAATATTGCATTGTATAAATGTACCACATCTTCTTTATCCAGTTGTCTATTGATGGGCACTTAAGTTGCATATACTATTTGTTTGGATAAATACCCAGACATGGAATTGCTGGGTCATAAAGTAGTTCTATTTTTAATTTTTTGAGGAACCTCCATACTATTTTCCACAGTGGCTGCACCAATTGGCAATCACACCAACAGTGCATGGGGTTCCCTTTTCTCCACATCCTCGCCAGCACTTGTTGTTTGTTGATTTATTGATGATAACCATTCTGACAGGTGTGACGTGATATCTCATTGTGGTTTTAATTTGCGTTTCCCTGGTAATTAGTGACTTTGAGCACCTTTTCATATGTCTATTGGCCATCTGTATGTCCTCTTTGGAGAAATGTCTATTCAGGTCCTCACCCATTTCTAAATAGGATTGTTTACTTATTTGGTGGTGAGTGGTATGAGTTCTTTATAAGTACTGTAACCCCTTATCAGATGTATCACTGGCAAATATCTTCTCCCATTCAGTAGGCTGTCTTTTCCTTTTGTTGGTCATTTCCTTTGCTGTGCAAAAATTTTTTAGTATGATGCGGTCTTCCATTTGTTTTTTGTTTTGTTTTTTCTTTTGTTTCCCTTGCCTGAGGAGATATATTAGAAACAAATATTACTAGTAGCAATGTTAGAGAGTTTACTGCCTATGTTTTCTTCTAGGAGTTTTAGGATTTCAGGTCTTAACATTTAAGCCTTTATTCGATATTGAGTTTATTTTTAGATTTCTCTTTTTGAAACACCACTTTTGTGGTAATCGGATGAATTCAGGGTTTTTTTTTTGTTTTTTGGGTTTTTTTTTTTTTTTTAGCTGAGCCATCCTGCCACCTGTTGGCAACTCAGCAGCTGCTCAGCTTGGGCTGGGACTCGAACCGCTGTTGCTCAGAGCTCACACTCTTGAGCGAGCTCTTAACCAGCTGAGCCACTCGGCTGGCCCTGAATTCAGGTTTGAGTTCTTGGTTTAAACGTAGTTCCAGATATTAAATGAGAAATGTATGGAGGTGGGAAAAAAGGTTGGAAAAAAGATGTTGATATGTTTGATTTGGAATTGTGTATGGCATGATTCAAGTATAAATTTCTAGATGACACTTTGATTTATGGGTCTGCAATTGAGGAAAGATGTACATGGAGATAGATGTTAGGTGCTAAATGCAGAAGTATGTTAAATTGGCTAGCATTTTCATGTTTAGCACTTCCTGTGTTTGTTAGAAATTAAATTTTTATGAAATAGAAGTTTTATGGGATAAATTATAACACTAAGCCATATATCAATATAATGTAAAGTTCCTCCACTATCTGATAGGGAAGATTAAAAAAATATAATTAATGGCCTTTTTTGGACTCTATCCCCTAAAAAGAGAGCTTTGTTGGTCATGAAAATCACAATTATGTACTTAGAAAGTATAAGGGGAAAAAAATCTCATTTGTTAGAAAATGAAACCTAAATTCAGCAAAAGGACACAAATATGAAATAGGAGATTTCTCTGAGGAAAACACCAAATATGATTGAAATTTATTAAAATTCATTTTAAAAATGTTTTCAGTTTACCAAAGTGTATTTGAAAAGTAAAAAAATAGATATACAGAGGGTGCCAAAAAACTGTATACACATTTTAAGAAAGGAAAAAACTGTATTAAAATTATAATACTCAATATATACCAATAACAAAAGATGAATACAAGTCACGTTTGACTTCTGCAATTACAAGAGGTGCTCAAAGTGGTTACCATCAGCGTCCAGACACTTCTGATTATGGTGAACTACTGCTTTAGCATAGATAACATCTCTTAAAATGTGTATCCATTTTTTTAAATGCCTGATATTTAAGGTATACCAAATGATGAGTTTTATTAAGGCTTTATTTTTTTTAAGAGCAAAATTAAGGGGAATGTACAGAGATTTCCCATAAACTCCCTGTCTCCACACATGCTTAATCTCCTCTATTATTAACATTTATCACCGTAGTGGTATATTTGTTATAATTGATGAACCTACATTAACACATCATAATCACCCAAAGTCCATAGCTTGCATTAGGGTTCACTCTTGGTGTTGTACATTCTGAGGGGTTTGGACAAATGTGTGATAACATGTATTCACCACAATGCTGTCATACAGAGTATTTTCACTGCCCTAAAAATCCTCTGTGCTGTGTCTACTCATTCCGTCGTCCCCCTTTTCAAAGTTTGGCACCATTGATCTTTATGTCTCCATAGTTTTGCCTTTTCCACAATGTCATATAGTTGGAATCATACAGTCTGTAACCTTTTCAGATTGGCTTTTTTCACTTACTAATATGCATGTAAGTTTCCTCCATGTTTTCATGGCTTGGTAGTTCATTTCTGTGTAGCGCTGAATATTCCATATCTGGATATACCACAGTTTATTTATCCATTCACCTACTGAAGGTCATCTTGGTTGCTTCCAAGCTTTGGCAGTTATAAATAAAGCCTCTGTAAATATCCGTATGCAGGTTTTTATGTGAACAAAAGTCTTCAACTCATTTGGGTAAATACCAAGGAACATGATTGTTGTATCATATGATAAAACTATGTTTAGTTTTGTAGGAAACCACCAAACTATATTCCATCATGGCTGTACCATTTTTCATTCCCACTAACAATGAATGAGAGTGCTCATTGATCCACATCTTTGCCAGTATTTGGTGTATGTGTGCAAAGTTTTGGCCATTGCGATGTCATGATATTTTGTTGTTTTAATTCACATTTCCTTAATGACATGATGTGGAACATATTTTCATATGCTTATTTTCCACTGTATATATCTTCTTTCATGAGGTATCTGTTGAGGTCTTTGATCATTTTTTTAAAAATCAGTTTGTTTGTTTTCTTACTGTTGAGTTTTCAGAGTTATTTGTATATTTTGGATAACAGCCCTTTATCAGATGTGTCTTTTGTAAATATTTTATTCCAGTTTGTGGCTTGTCTTTTTATTCTCTTGACATTGGCTTTCACAGAGCCAAAGTTTTTAATTTTAATGAAGTCCTCTTGTAAATTATTTCTCTCACGGATTTGCTTTTGCTATTGTGTCTGTAAAATCATTACCATACCCAAAGTCATCTAGGTTTTCTCCTACGTTATCTTCTAGGAGTGTTATAG